TAGTGTTAATTCATACTTATTAATACCCACACCTCCATTTCCAATTGTCTCGACACGTATAGTTCAAATACTATCACAAGATACCTTTAAAGATGTAGATTGCATCCCATCATATTACCAAAGCTAAAGTTTTTAATTGTGCATCTCTATCGATTGTGCCACAACCTCAACAGTCACGATATCGTTTCCACCACCAATCGTCCTCGAATATTCACTATTCTACGAGTACCATTTGGTTTTCGAATAAGAAAAAATGAATATTAATTAAGAATGATGAGATTATTAGAGGTAGAACACATGAAAGTACACTAAAAGCTTAAGAAGGGTAAGTGAATAGGAGAAGGTTTTGTTTTATCCAAAAGGAAAAGAAAAGGGTTAAAGAAGAGAGAGAGAGAGAGGTCTGAAACACATCTTGGAATGTGTGAAGGGGTGTGATACATTACATGAAATGTCATCCATACCATTTATTCCTGTGGCCCATACACTCTCTCTTAATCAATAACCACACACCATTTCTCTCTCTCTTCTCTCTACCACCAAACTCACAACACCAACATTTAATCCTCTTTATGCTTATGGACTCATCAAAAACAACAACAACAAAAAAAAAAAGTAGAAAGACATTAAGAAAAAACAAATTTTGCAAAGAATAAAGACATAAAAACAAACCCTTTAAAATGGGGCCATCTTAAACACGGAAGCTCGAATATATAAAAGTTAATCCATCGATAATAAAAGAATAAAGTTATTTCATCAATAAAAGGTCTCGTATCAAGAGAGATAGTATTCGTTATTTAGAGCACAAAGTCTCATTTCATTCGATACTATGGTAAAACGCCAATGAACCCAACTCATCGGTTAACTTTTAACCTAGGTCGAGGGAAGAGCGGTAACTCGGGTGGAGTTTAGGATTTTAATTTTGAAATTCAAATGAAGAAAAACAAAAGGGCATTAAATGAGTTGCAGTGGTGGAAGACATGTATGTCTGAGTTTTTCCTTCAAAGTAACATTTACAATAAACTCACAACATCTTGTTTCTCTGACAAACGTTGGCCTCTCCGAGTAGCGTAAACTTGATGTCTGGTTTTGCAAGCCAAGCAAGACCTAACCAATAACCATAACCCACTTTTTGTCTCTCTTTTTTTTTTTTTTTTTTTTTTTTTTTTTTTTTT